TCTCTCTCATCAATGTTTCTAACTATCCCTCTTCTTCCTCTCTGTAAAAAATCAATAAAATATATATTTTTTAAAATCAGGGTTGAATCTGATCAAGCTTCTAGATCAGTGCTGTTAAATAGAACTTTCTGCAATTATGGAAATATTTTCTATCTACACCAAACAGTAGCCACAAGCCACCAGTGACTACAGACCCTTGACTCATGGCTAATGTGACTAAGGAACTGAACTTTTGGGTTTATTTCATTTTAATTCATTTAAATACACCACAGCTGGCTGGTGAGTACTATAGTGGACAGTACAATTCTAGATCTACTAGTTTAATGAAAATAAAGGGCACAGATGTGCATGTTAAACAGTTAAAGGATACCATGCAGATGCAACTAGCTAAATGTAGAACGTTAAGGAGAAAGGGGGGGCAAGGGAACTGCTAGATTTAAAAGCTTTAAACGGTGTATCAATCAAATGCAACATGTGGGTCTCTAGAGGATTTTTGACCCAAACAAGTTAATTATAAAAAGACATTTAAAGGACAATAGAGAAATCTGAACCCAGACTGAATACTGACATTATGGAATTTTTATTAATCTTCATAAGTGGATGACAGTACTGTGGTTTTGCAAAACTAAAAAATTTAAACCTAGCTCTTGGAGATTTAAAAAAAAAAAAAAAAAAAAAAAAAAAAAAAAAAAAAAAAAAAAAAACCTAACATAAAAATAAAGAAGTCAGTGCCTGAAACCAATATCCATGCTGGCTTCAGCTGAACTTTAAATCAAGTGGACCTTTTTTAAAAGTAGGAGAGTATACATAGGCCACCTCTACTACTGAAAACATTAAGGACCAAGCAGTCTTCCTTTCAATGAAAGGAAAATTGAATGAGTACAATAGATACAATTACTATAATTTAAAACCTGAATCTACATACATTTTAAAGGGCAGTATGACAATGTTTATAAATCTTTAACACATTTTACACTGTCTTTATTACTATACTAGAGGCCAGGTGCACAAAATTCGTGCACTCGGAGGGAGGGGGTCCCTCAGCGGCTCCTGCCAACACCACTGTGCTCATCAGCTGGTTCAGAACTTCTGGCTGGTTCAGGATTCCTGTGGGAGTGCACTGACCACCAGGGGGAAGCTCCTGCATTGAGCATCTGCCCCCTGATGGTCAGTGAGCATCACAGTGGTTGAGGTTCCACCATTAGGTTGATTTGCATATTAGCCTTTCATTATATAGGCGGATTATATTGATCACTGATAACATATAATCAAAGGACAAGAAGATCAAGATAAAAGTCAATATAAAGATGATTCCAAATCTACATTCCAAGTAATAATACACTTTATTATATCTTTAAGCTACAGCTACAAATCTAAATGTTAGTATTTGAAGGTAACATGTTGTAGCTGATGATCCTTATGATTTCCTTTTCTTACCTATACAATTAAGTGCAAGCATGTGGGGAATTGTAAAACTATAGCGTACCTTCCCTATAACATTAAGTTATTAAAAGGAATAACACTTAAAAGCTCCAGCAATCAGATATAAGGCTCGAGAAAAACTACTTTGTGTATTGCAACTAAAATGAAGACTAGTCACTGAATTCTCACTCATCTACACTCTCTTATGTTGTAAGGGACATCAGAAAAACCACGAGCCTCCATTTACTACCTTCCATATCTTCATTATTCAAGTGTCCCTTAAGGGAGCCTCACTTATCATTTACTTCCCATCCACGATTTGCATGGAGCAATCCATAGCTCAGCGTTCCCCAACTTCAGACCCTCCTGTGCTAACGTTGTTTTTAAACGAGTTCGCTAGTTTTAAATGGCTAAACTTCCCACGGTAATCACAACTATGCCAGCAGCAAGCTAACTAAAGACGCGGGGCAGACTAGGCAGGGCGGGCGAGGGCGATGGAGGGCTCGGGAGCAGCACGCCCACCCCGCTGCCCGCGCCGGCCCGGCCTCGGGGGAGGGCTGACCACCTGGCTGGCCCCGACGGCGCGCCCGGCCAGGCCGTGTCCGCCGCCGCGGGTCCGCCTGCCGTACGCGGCCAGGACGAGGGGCGGGGCGCCGGGGCGAGCCCTGCGCGGGGGAGGCGGGCCCGCCGGCCTGCGGGCCGCCGCGGAGGCCAGCCCCGGGCCGTAGACCCGCACCGCCGAAGGCTCCGCCGCGGCCAGGGCCGCCTCCGGACTGGGACACGCCCGCCCCTCGCCCATCTTCCGAGCGCACATGCGGTTGAGGGGCGACGGCGCCCGCGCGCGCCCGAGACTTCCCGCCGTTACCTTCGGCCGGGCGCGCGCGCGTCACGCCCAGCCTGACGTCCAGCCTCCGCCGTCCGCACGTTTGTTCCGCCTCCCCACACACACCCCCTTACTTTTAATGGAACAACCTCCTTCTTGGCCTCCCCCCTCCGTACAAGCAAATGGGCTCGTCCACATCCGGGGGGGGGCCGGCGGAAGAGGCGTGCCGGCCACGTGGTGCAGGGGCGGGATCCGGCGGCGGCGGGCGCATCCGCGGGTCGGTAAGGGTTTCCCGCGCCCCTAGCCTCGGTTTTTGGAGAGTGGCAACGAGCTCGTTCCTCGGCGTCGCACTTCCCCTCCACTCCCACCGGCCGAGGCCGATGTCTTCACGTCACCCCCCTTATCACTGCCCTTACCGCAGGCCTGGTCGAGCAGAAAGGCACTTGGCTGGTGGGCCGGGCCCTATACCTCCCCCGCATCCATTTTTTGGTCTATCCAGCCTGAAACCGGAAGTGGGTGCTGTGGGCGGCCTCACACGCCCGTACCGATGGTGGTGGCCTGCGGGGGTCATTTCTAGCTAGGGAAAAGACCTTTCTGGCTTTGACCTAAGTATTTATAAAACACAGAGATGGATAAAATGTTTCCCTGCCCCAGCAAACGCACACACCGGGAAGAGTGTGGAACCGGCGGTGTGATCAGCTCCCAATGGGGAACCACTCTGTGCGCATAGGGAACTAGGAGCTGGGATCTACGGGGGGTCCGAGGGGAGGGGAGCGGGGTTTGCGTGCTGTGCTCTGCCGGGGACCTAAAGGAGGTCTCCTGCCGGAACCAAGGTTTTTAGACCAGCTGGGGGGAAAAGAAAGGAACGATCATTTCAGGATCAGAACAATCACACGTGTAAGTTTGTTCAGGAAACTGGTAGTGGTTAATTCTGCCCAGGTTAGCAAGGGCTTGGTCCAGTGGCCGTGTCCTGGACCGTGCCTCTCTTGCTTGATGCTTTCCAGCCCCTTAAGAGTGAAAACACCTTAGCACTTTACTCTAGACATGGGGTGTTGGCCCCGGGTGATCTTAGGCCCACGTTGAGTTTGAAAGGAAAAGTACAGGTTAGTGATGGGGCTTTGAAGTGTAGAGGACAGAAAGTATGATAGGGTTAGAGGTGTTTGAAAGAGTGACAGGTGAAAAAAGATTGAGGCCAAATAGGGGAGTCATTGATACAAAATGTACAAGTTAACAACTAGAGGTGATAATCCCTGAACAATCTGTTACACAGCCAATCAAATATGTTGAGTGGATAATAAGAACAAGAAGGAAGTGTTCAAGGGCAGAATGCTACTGAAGCTGGAGTGATTTGATTAAAAATTTACGGAAAAGGTAGAATCTTTGTGAGCCCAGGAAAATCATATTTTGATCAGCAGGGAATGGGGATGAGGGTATCCCATAGACCAGGGCATCAAGGACAAAGGTGTGGCAGCAGGAAAAGGGAGGGCTTTTGTAGGACAGGGACTCCAGAAACATAACTGGAACTGAGGGTAAGGACCCCCGTGTGTAAAATTTTTAAAGATGGGGGCCTTGTTTTGAGTTATTTACTGGGTAATACTGGATTAATTCTTGTGTGGAAACATTAAGACATCTGGTTCACTGGTGCACCTTTTGCTTCAGTTTCGTCTGGATCCTTATCATGGGGTACAAACCCTTCCCCTCATTCCAACCTGTATAATTATTACCCAAATATCAGGGCAATCTTGCAATCATGTTGGAGACCAGAACAGGCCTATATGAAAGAGTTGGATTCCTCTCCCAAAAATGGTTTCTTTTATGAGTTTTTATACTCAAAAGGTAGGAGTGACCCAGAGTACCTTTCCTGCCATTGACTCGCAGGCCATCAGGATGGCTGTTTTGTAGCAGGAGCACAATAGGGTAATGCCTGTGATGAAGAATGGCCCAAACTTGGAAACAAGGAACCCAGAGGTACCATCCAAGCTGGCTATATCTGTTTAGGGGAAAGTAAAAAGGAGGGAATCAGCATGACAAGTATCTTGACCAGGCATTAAAGGGCAAGCAGCATTAAGAGTCACCCCAAAGGGAAGGAAAAACAAGCAGCATGGAGACTTACCGCTATTGCTGCTTTCAGGGCCCAGCCTGAGTGCCACCTCAAGATAGGAGGCCATGTAGTCAACAAGCTCAGCTGAGGATTTCCGTCAGGTCTGTGGTTGGTCACGTTGTATAACCCACTTCAATGTTATCATTTAACTTCTTGAGCTAAGAATGCCAACATTCAAGGCAAGGCAGATGGTGACTCTTATAAAAAAAAAAAAAAATGGTGCAGAAAACAACCGGAGAGGAAACTTGCTTCTGAGTCGGGGACTCATCAAAGGCATCCTGCAAGGGAGCGGTGAGTGTGCCAGTTAGGAAAGAAAAGCTGCATTCTAGATGTGCGGTGGCCTTAAAACGGAGGCCCTCAAATATATTGCCTTCCTGTCACATGACACTGGTCTGGGCCATGTCCTATGTTCAGTGTATGCTACAAAGTATCAGCTGGAGGGGGAACAGAAAGGAGGGACTATGATTATATATAAATAAGTTGTCTCCTGACCCAGATGAGAATACTGGTCTTTCCCAGGGTGATGTACCAAATGACATATCCAGGCCAAGAAGCCAGGGGGATCCTAGTGCTGGGTTACACCACTTCCTGAGTCTGTGTTTTGGAAATAACCTCTTTGACTGACAGATTTGACAAGATCAAAGCTGCAGGAGAATGGACAGTGAAGTACAGAGAGACGGAAGGATCTTGGATTTGATTGATGATGCATGGCGAGAAGACAAGCTGCCCTACGAGGATGTTGCAATACCGCTGGTAGGCAGTCATTTGTGCCGAGGGGAATGGGATAGAGGGCCCTGGTAGAGGTGGAACATCAGTGGTCAAATAAACCAGTAAGGCAAAGACATCAGCTGTGGAGTCCACTGATTAGAAGCTTCCGGAGAGCATGTAGACTTTTTATTTGAAGAGAAATACGGTTCAGAGAGTTAATGTGAACCTCTCAGTTAGGGGTCATTCCAGGACTGGAACCCAGGTCTTCTGAGCCCCTTTCTGTCAATTACACCAAAGCCAGTAAGCCAGGTAATGAGGGTTTAATGCATAAGATGGGGAAGAATACGAAGCAGCTGGCTTGTTGACATTATTAAAAATGCACATTCTTAGAACATACACCTATCCTAAGTTCCCTGGAAAATAATTTTTAAAATCTGGCTTTTCTTCTTTTGCCTTTGGATCAGTAGGCTCCTGGGATACACTTATCTGCTCTCTGTGAAACTGCTCTGCTAAGAGATTGTTAAACCTTAAGTAATAAATGATCTAAAAGCTTAGCTTGTATAAGTGCTTATTAAATATACTATTTATGTCATAGAGGAATGCTTTTCTTTCAAGTATGCCAACTATCCTGAGAAGAGCTGTTAATAAGAGCTTACAGATAGACTGCTGCTGCAATTACAGAGAGAGAAAATCTAGCTCACCGATGTTTTCGTTTAAGAATAAGAGATGATAATATGTTCAATGAGTAATACACATATCACATAATAAATCACAGCTTAGTTCAACTTTAGAAAAATAGTCGAAAGAGAGGGTCATGAGAATTATAGCTGCCATTTAGTGAAAACCAGGTTTATGCCATGGACGGAAGTTGAAATTGGACAAACATTATCTCTAATCTTGAAACAGCCTTGCAAGATGGTGCTGTTATTCCCACTTTACAGGAAAGGAATAGGATCAGAGAGAGGAACCTGCCGGGGGTTGGGTAACTGATAAGTTGGACTGCACACCTGGGTCTGTGACGCTCCAGATCCTGTCCTGTGAACTTCGATTTCTTTCATTCCACCAGCATGTCTTTGGAAGCCTCCTGTGTGCCAGATTGTGTAAACATAAGATACAGTTTCTACCCCTGCGGGTCAAGGGAGGTAACCCACAAAAATAAGTAATAATTATAATAAGGGTTTTAAGGGGGGTCATGAACAGCCACCGTTGTATAGGAAGTGGCTCGCTGCCTGCTGGGCAGAAGGAAGTAATGTTTAAGCTGGTCATAAGGGAGGACCAGCAGTTTGGGGGGGGGGGGAGGGTGGAAACAAGGGCACTCCAGCAGTGGGGACTGTCCAGAGGGTCAGAGCTTTAAAGTCTTTGAAAGTGAGGGGTGGGGAAATACACTGCCTTTTCATAGAGTAGCTGCAAAGACTTGTCATTTTTTCAGTGTACCATAATAGATGGTTGCATTTATGATACTTTGTGTTTGTTTTTCAAGCTCATATGCAATTTTATACATTGGTATTCATTGCCAAGAGACAGTCATGATCAAATGAATGACATCATTTTAGAATACATACCACAGATGGGATGAAATTATGCAAAGTTGCCTATTTCTGAATGAAACAATTCATTAAGCGAGGACTTGTTTATGCTTTGTCAGCAATAGCTAATTATTGGAACCAAACTTTAAGTTTAAGTGTATTATTACTTTACAATAAGTGATAGTCCCTTTCAGTTTGTACCAGTATATTTGAATTTCAGTCTTAACGTTTGTAGAGCAAGATGTATCTGATCCCAATATACGTATCATATTTTGTTTTTTTCTTTGTTTTTTTTTTTTTTTTTAAATATATTTTATTGCCTAGACCGGTTTAGCTCAATGGATAGAGCGTCGGCTTGGGGACTAAAGGGTCCCGGGTTCAGTTCCAGTCAGGGGTATGTACTTTGGTTGCGGGCATATCCCCAGGAGGGGGTGTGCAAGAGGCAGCTGATCGATGACTCTCTCATCGATGTTTCTAACTCTCTATCTCTCTCCCTTCCTCTCTGTACAAATCAATAAAATATATTTTTTAAAATAATAATAATAAATAAATAAATATATTTTATTGATTTTTTACAGAGAGGAAGGGAGAGAGATAGAGAGCCAGAAACGTTGATGAGAGAAAAACATCGACCAGCCGCCTCTTGCACATCCCCTACTGGGGATGTGCCCGCAGCCAATGTACATGCCCTTGACCGGAATTGAACCCGGGACCTTTCACTCCGCAGACCGAAGCTCTACCACTGAGCCAAACCGGTCGGCAATACATATCATATTATTTAAAAAATTGTTTTGTATATACTGGACATAATTCTAAAGGAGAAGAACATTATATTCATATACTGAAAATTGGAATCATTGGAAAATCATAAGTCTGGGTAGTGAATAACAGTTTGATAACCCTAAAAGAAATGTAAATTCAGATAATTAAAACAAAATATGTTGGTATCAGTGAACTCTGAATCAAAGCAGAGTCCTGGTAGTAATACATTTACATTTAAATATAAGGAAACTTTCTTAAAAGTTCTTACTACACACAAAAATGAGGTAATGGATGTACTAACTAGCCTTATTGTGGTAATTGTATCAAACTATATGTGTATCAAATCATGTTGTATACCTTAAACTTGCAGAATGTTATATGTAAATTAAATCACAATAAATCTGGGATATATATAAATGATTCCAGAGTCTACACGAAGTGTGGCCCATGGCTTAACCATTTTAAGAAAATATGTTGCCCGGCTCCACCACTAGGGGGTAGTCTCATATCATACTACATTTTCACTGCTTCCCACTTACAATAGTTCCATTATAATTAGGCATGCTGGGTGCAGAGCAGTTTAATACATTTCTTGTGCTTAAGGAATATGCCAGCAAATGTGATGTTCTATTAAAGGCAGCCCCTTAATAGAATTTTTAAAAAGACTCTTCAGTTTTCCCAGCCATTAACAATAATAGCAAATATTCCTTGAACATGGATGTCCTGCATAGTGCTAAGCATTTTATCTAAATCACAGTGTTCAGTCTCACAGCAGTTCCAGGAGGTGATGGCTACATTTCTCATATTTTCAGAGAGGAAACAAGGCTCCAAGGGTTTGAATACCTTGCCTGAGTAACCCAAGCAGTGGAGTGGTGGGCTTGAATCGTGGTAGCTTCCAGAAGCTGTGCCCTTGGCCTCCTGCACAAATGCTAGAGCCATAAGACCATCATTCCTCTGGAGAGGACCTGAATAATAAATACTTCCTCACACCTTTTTATTCAGCTATTTCTTTAGGATACACCTCTGCAAATTATGCTACCTGTTTCTAGGAACTCAGTTTAATCCTATGTGCTCTTGACTTTTAAGGGGTTTGTTGATGTACATTTACTGTCGTCCTGAACATCCACTGTATCTTTTCAGAATGAGCTTCCTGAACCTGAGCAGGACAACGGTGGCACCACGGAATCTGTGAAAGAACAAGAGATGAAGTGGACCGACTTGGCCTTACAGTACCTGCACGAGAATGTCCCCCCCGTAGGAAACTGACACCTCGCTCCCCTCTCATGGACAGATTTTTTTTTTTTAAAATAAAGATACAAAATGTTTTCTTTTGGTCTCCTAACTGAAATCTTTTAGTGATAGATCCAACACTCAAAAATTTACCTGCACTTAATTTGTGGCAGCAAAGTGCAATGTGGAAATACCAGAATGGGAAATTGGTTGAGATTTCCCAGGAATGCAGAATATTTGGCTCTTTGAACCTAAAGTTCTTCATGTGTTAGCTTGTGTTTAAACATGTTTGGTTAAACATTTGCCTTTCATTTTGCTTTACTGTCCGAGTCTAACACTTCCCATCTGCTTGTGTGTGTCCTGTGACAGGTGGTTGAAGATAGGAGAGGAAAAGGCTAAGAGAGGAAACCAGGCTAAGGAGAAGGACTAACTTCCCATGTACCCCACTTGGAGAAGCAGTCTGAGTGGGGGTGGAGATGTACCAGACATTCAGAAGCGCATTCACTGACTGCTGGGATGCCTGAGATTCCTCATGGTGTTTTCAAACCTTGGGTACATTTCTAAATTAAGCAGTGTCTGACATTCCCTCTGCTCTCCCCACCACTTTTGATGCCTCTGGGAAGGATCTTCAGCTAGATGAACCACTAGTTTTATCTATAATGTGATTTATTTTCTCAGAGGCCTTTGAGATGTAACCAAAACACCATGGAGTCAGTATTTAGTTGTAAATTGTATGAGAACTTGTACTTTGCAAAACACCTTTATCTCCTTGGAATTATTTGCCTCTGTTAAGTGGTGTCTGCCTTGTTCTCTGTCTAGATTGTAAACTCTGGGAAGAAGCCCTGGCTTATACTCGTGTATCCATCACTAAAAAACTGAAAATACTGAGTAATTGAAATCCCTTCTCATCCTGTTTTTACTGGGTCTTTCTGTTTGCCTTGCTCTTAGGAGGAAGAAGTAAATCACAAGTGAGCTGATTTGGGAGGTTTCAGTAGAAACCTTGTGTAACAACTCTCCTGTGATCCAAACAGGTGAAAGCATTGTGTTCTGTGTGAGAGGCCCTGGCTTCGCACTAGGAATACAATAGTGAGCAAAATATGACCTCTGACTTTGTTTAGTAGGGTAAACAAGCATTGAACCAAGAGTCATACACTCCTATAATTTCAAATCCTGACATTCTAAGAAGAAAAATCAGATGTCACTTGGGTACAAAGCCTGAGGCAGAGTTTCTTGCACTAAGGGTTTCTAGAGGCTGCCATGCTCCGGAGCAGCAGGGTAGGGTAAGGGGAAAGATGAGCAAAGCAGTGATGTCAGCTGAAGTCTAGCCTAAGGCAAACCCCATAGCGGCTATGAAAGTGGTGGCATCAAGAGTTGTCCCACGTTGAGACCAGAGGCTAGGCCTTTTAGCAGTATGCCTGTTGGTCAGAAGATGTGGCTCTCCAGAGAACAGTGCTCTGAGGAGCCAGCAGTCTCCAGGGAACCCTGCCCTTGTGACCCAGGGGTGAATTCTCTGAATCAGACACAGGACTCCAGATGCAGCCTCTGTCCTCTGAGACCATAGAATCTGGGTCCAGGAGCCCCATCCCTTGAAGCCCGAGTTAGACCCACTTCTGAATAATATAGTAACAACAGCAACGGTTAGCTGAATGCTTCCATGTGCTTCAGACACATGATCTTTAGCCCCGGTGTCCACTTTGAAGGTGGATATTTTTACCCTCCTTGATCAGGAGGTGGCAACTTAAATGACACGTTCCAAGTTAAAAGGCTTACCCCAAGTCACTCCAATTGAAAATGAATTCCAATGTAAATGAATTCCAATGTAGGCTGTCTGGTCCCCAAATCTGGATCCTTTCCCTGGACCACGTGACCTCTCTGTAAAGCCTACTGTGACCACTCCATTCTGAAATGGGAGGAATATTCCATTGACATTCAGAATTTCAAAATGTTAACCTTGTTTCTATAATTGAGCTAACGAACTAAAAGAAGAATTTTTATTAGGAACCTGGGAGTCATGAAACATTTAAAAACTCAACCTATTACCAAATCCATATATAACTCATAGCAGCATGAGTCATGCTGTTTTCACTGGTTTTTATTCAAGGTTAAATCCCAAGTGTTTATTTTCCAATTTGGGTACATTTGAGAGTGAACAATTTAGTACCCATGCTAGTTAGTAGCATGCCAGCAGGGGGCGTCAATTCCTATAAGAAAGTCAACCCCTGACAGATCTGTCAGTAAACTTGAAACTGAAGATACTGAATAAATGTGTTTTGCTTGGAAGTGATGCTGCATCCCAGAAACCTTGGGGTTCTAGCCACCCACCCTTGGGCTGGGCAGCTCACCTAGTGGGCTCCTCACTGGTGCTTCATGGGAGGCCAAGTGAGGGCACCTAGAAGGTGAGAGCAGTTCAGAACTTTGCTCACCTGTGACCCCAACTCTTCATCAGGTTGGGGACTTTTTCATTAAGTGCTTCCCCACGTTTTGGTGTTAAATCATTTAAATAATTTTGGCATCATTATGGAATGATTGCTTTCAAAACCTTCCTTTATTCTAACTTTTTTTTAATCCTCAGTGGAGGATATGTTTTTTAATATATTTTAATATGTTTTTTTAATTGACTTTTAGAGAGGGGTAAAGGAGAGGAATAGATAGAAACATCAATGAGAGAGAAACATTGATTGGCTGCCTCCTGCACACCCCCTACTGGGGATTGAGCCCACAACCAGGCATGTGCCCTGACCAGGAATCGAGCAGTTGGTTCATGAGCTGACAACCATTGAGCCACAAAAAAAGCTTGCTTTTTTGATTTGGCCTTGCTTTACCCACAGTTAAATTCTTTCCCAAGTTTCTTGCGACTCCATATACTATCAGTCAGATCCTGAGGAAAGCAGTTGGACAGCGGGGTTAGGAAAGGCAAATGGGTAATTTTGACCTTGCCTTTGACCTTTAGCCAACAAGGACTGGCTTCATGGCCATGCAACCTGTCACACAGGGTCCCACATTCAGATAGTTTTTCATCAAGGGACCCATGTTTTCCTTTTGTACCATGCCCAATAAATTATGTAGCTGGTTCTTAAATCTACGGTAGCCATCTGTGGGATGGCAACTAGTTTGACCCACTGTCCTGAATCCTGTCACCCTGGGTATAGCTATGAAGTTGTCTCAGAACAGAGCCTCTGACTGAAATTTATTACCAGAAGCACAATTACAGAGCTGGGGCAATGATCAACTCATTCATTTATGAAGGGTTTCTACCTGGGTACTTAATTTACCCTTTCATGTTGAAGCATATGGAAAAAAAAATCAAAACGTTTTTATAGATCAAAAATTGTCGGTCACCATTTTCTATGTTTTGAGCTCATTTTATTCTTACCTCGAGCCAGCTGAGCACACATACACACACACGAGAACCAGATTTGATGGGTAGAGATGGGGAGCCGGCAATGGGTGGAGAATTTGGAAAAAACCAAGTGACTCCAAAGGAAGTGAGGGAGTTGGGTGTACAAACCCTTCCCAGTTATTCCATGCCTTCCCTGGTGACTCAGATCTCTTTTATCGTGGTGCCACCACCCAAGGGCAAAAGGGGTTTTCCTCCACCCATGCCACGATCTTGCCTCCACTCTCTTGGCATCTCTGCCATGCTCCCTCCCACCCTCATCTCAGTCTAAAGCGGTTCCCTGCCCCCACCCCATGCTCACATATCAGTAGTCACCTAATGTTCAGCACTTCCTGAGGCAGAGTGAGGTGGCAGCATCCCTACCTCTTTGCCAGTAGGACTGCCCTAAGACCCACATGGCCACCCCTGGCTCAGCTCAGACAGGACCACGGGCCAGTCTGGTGAGGCACTTCTCCCCCATCCCATCTTTCAGGCTCTTGTGTTCGCCACTGCTCTCCTCCCAGGACAATACAGATGTTGAGACATGCCTTCCTCTTCACTCACAGTTTCTGCTTACCCAGGGCTGCCCTGGGGAGGGGGATTAGGTGCTCATGTGTCCCAGTTCTTAGCCCAGGAGGACAGGCAACATTGGCTTTGAGAGTACCAGAGAAAATGAGCATTCAGCTGGGTTGGAGCATCCCAGATGGACCTGACTCTTGGCAGGAGTGAGAAGGGCTGCAGCTCTGGTCCCCACGCCTCCCACTGACTGCTTCCAACTTCTTTGCCAAGTTTCTCTTTTCCCCTCAATCAACCAAGCAATCAATCTTTATCTGTGTGTGTTCCTACTTCATCCTTTCTTGATGATTTTCTTCCTCATACTCAAGCATTTATCTAAATACCTTACTCTGTGCACCAGACTTAGCTTCTTTTATATTGCAAATACCTATAAAGTACAACTTACATCAATTTGCACCCTGTTTTATTTTATACCAGAGGCCCTAGGCCTGGCTGGTGGTCAGGGCCAATCTGTGGGGCGACCAGTGGGGCGATTAGGCCCATCAGAATCAGTATTGCCTCCACTGCCACCTGCTAACAGTGCCACATCATGACACTCCCCATGTTCAGCGCCACCCCCTGGTGGTCAGCACACACCTAACTCCAGGTCAATCAAACTCCCACCTGTGGGGACAATTTGCATATTAGCCTTTTATTATATAGAATATTAGTTACTTATTTGAAATTATGTGTAAGCAAAATGTACATAGGCTACTTGCAAAGCATAATGGCTAAGAATACAGACTTTGGAGACAGAAAGGCCTAGGTTCAAAACCCAGTGTATCAGTAGATGAGTGGATAAAAAAGCTGTGGTACATGTATACCATGGGATAGTATGGTATACATGTACTACATGTATACCATGTAGTAAAAATAATAAAAAGAAGAATCTCTTACCCTATGAGACAGCATGGAGGGACCTGGAGAGTACCATGGTAAGTGAAATAAATCAGAGAAAGACAAGTATCACATGATGACACTCATGTGGAACCAAAGTAACAAAATAAACTGATAAACGGGGTTGATCCAGAGACATGGAAGCACGGGACAGAGTGCAGAATCTCGAACGGAAGGCAGGGGAGGGTGGATGGGTGAGAGGTAATCA